ATAGTATACGTGAAGATAAGATAAGTGAGCCCGATAGTAGCACACGAACTACTCGTCGTAGAAACAACCATGCGCCTGCAGAAGCAAAGATAACGACACCTGAATCTCAGTCCCTTCAAGTTCACAACGGGAATGTAGACGAACAACTATTATATAATAGAGGCTGAGATTAATAGCACTAATTTCTCAGGACACTTATCTACTTCTATAGTAACCGCAATTCGGCTGGCCGCGTCCGCAGGGACCATCACTCAACAACAATCAAGTGCAATGCGTCGTCATCGTCTACTGCAACCTAGAGCAAGAACGCAACCCAGAGCAAGAACGAGAAGAACAGCGCTACGTCGTTTCATCGTTCAACGTCGTAGGCAAAACAATCCACGGGTTGGCGTCATCGCCTTCGGTGACAACAACAGTATTTCGCTCCCCGAAGAGCACAAATTTCAGTATCCGCTCCTCTCTGATCCCAACAACATCGTCTGTCAACATTGTGGAGCCAAGCTATGGAAAGAAGAAGTTATCAACTGTTGCAGCAACGGTAAATTCTCCGTCGCCAACTTGCCTCCGTTACCAGACGCTGCCAGAGAGTTGTTCAATCACCCCAACGTAATCCAACACCAACGGCGATTAAATAGTCTGTTTTCTTTTACGGCTCTAGGGGCAAGTCCGAAAGGGTGTTGGGAAGGAACGCCGTCTCCGCCGTCAATGCTCACGATGTGTGGCAAGGCATATCGCCGAATATTTGATGCCGAAAACCAATACAGAGGAGAACAACGTCAACCATCAAATAACGCGAGATTCTATGTCTACGACGACGAGCACAGAGCGCACGGCGAAAGCCTCGGCATCGATCCTAATATCGTCGACTCCGTCCGAAACCTTCTCAGTCAACACAACTCCTGGGTTAATGCTTACCAGAGCGCCGTAGACGAAATCGTCAGAAATGACCATGAGATCCACGACGCACAGATTTGTTTTGGACCTGTAGATCGGACGACACATGGCCCTATTTTGGGTGATCTGCCCACGACGTCGGAGATCGCAGCATGCATACCAAGAAGACACGACGGCACAACTTTTCCGACAAGTATACACATTCCCCCGTAACGGTGACTCGGGAAGACCACGGTTTGTACCTATATTCTCTGCCAGTTACGAGCCTCTCGGTTATCCCTTGCTGTTTTTCTCTGGCACATCAGGGTGGTCAAAGGGAACGTGGCTACGCGACGAAAGACGCGTCGCCGGCGAAACCGTCGGACCATCCGGTCACAAAGTTCCTATCGCTCACTACGTGCGACAAAGAGTACTTTCCGAGCCCACTTTTCACCCATTTAGTAGAGTTACGCAGGAGTACCTCTGCGACATGTACTCACGTCAAGAAGAACAGAGCCTCCAATACCTGTCCTCAGCTGAAGGCCAGAAACGTGCCACCACGTACAAAACTTTAGAGGACGCCCCCCAGGAAGCTCAGATAGGTAAAACGCTCCCGAAAACCTTTCACGGGCATCCAGCCAAAATGAAAGCAAACACAACCGACGCCTTAGCTATTGTATCACGTAAGGGACGCCCTAGTGCCATGCTCACCATGACATGCAATGGTAACTGGGAAGCAATTCAAGCTAATCTGTTACCCGGTCAAACAGCGTACGACAGGCCAGACTTATGCGACCGTGTCTTCAAAATTAAAATGGCTGAACTCATGAAAGACCTCAGGAGTGGCAAGATTTTGGACCGATTGACTTTGAGATGAGCTGCGTAGAGTTCCAGAAGAGGGGCATGCCCCATATGCATTTAGTAGTGCGCTTTGAGGGACCTTTGCCCGATCAGATGGGAGAAATGGACGAATGGTGTTGGGCGGAAGTGCCGCCGCCAGAGCTCAACAATGGTAGATCAAGAGATCAAGTGCTGAACCTCATGGTACATAAACAGTGTGGCAGTCACAACCCCACATCACCGTGCATGAAGGAAGATCGAAAACGGCCTGGAGTTAAGGTGTGCGGCAAAAACTATCCCCAACCATGGCGTGACGTAGCCGCTGTGGGCAAGACCGGTAGAGCCGAGTACCGTCGTAGAGATACCGGAGAGAGATTTCCCTACACGCACAGAGTGAACGGCAAATTTATCGAATCATTCGCCACCAATCAATGGATAGCACCGTACAACATTTGGCTCCTTTCCAAATACAACTGTCACATGTGTTTTGACGTCTGCACCGCCAACGCCATACAGTCAAGTATATTTACAAGTACATCACGAAAGGCGCCGACTTTATCAAGGCCAAGATTGTTTGTGGTGGTGACGAAATTGAAGCTTACCGATCGGCAAGATACGTGTCAGCGGCAGAGGCTGCGTGGCGATTGCTTGGTTTCCACATCATGGAGCGCCACCCTTCCGTCACGTCCCTTCGCTTGCACCTTCCCGATGACAAACACGTCATTGTCGATCAAACTCTTACACGTGCTGAACAGAAGTCGGAAGCCGAACAGACCAAATCCGACCTCATGCTGTACTTTGGAAGACCTACCGAGTCCGACTTCGATTCCCTCACGTACCTGGACTACAACGAGAAGTACATTGTCAACAAAAATGGTACATCATTTCTCACATCTGCATACTGCGGGAACAAATTGCTGGGAATCTCACAGCCACCGCATACCATCGTTTACCAGACGCCAAGAAACATGCGTCTTGCGGTACGCTTCTCTCAGCGTGGCGGCGTAAGCCGCCGAAAGCCTTGTATTTTTATCTCTTTTCCAAGTTTGATTGCGAAGGAAACTGATTTCTCTCTCGGCGCACCACAGGACAACACACTTCACTTGGATTTATAGACTGGCGGGTTTCCTCTCTCGGCGCACCACATCACATGCATGCCAGCATTTCCGAGGTCCGCCGGCCCGTTCTCTGTCAACCGACCGCTCTGTTGCCGTTGCCGCTGTCTTCGGCCCCTCTGCACCCGGTGCTTTTGGGCTCTGCGCTGCCAGTCAGTGCTCCACTCAGTCAGTCAGTGCTCCTGTTGGTGCTGCATTCTGCACCTCGCACACTCCCGCTTTGTTTGTCCGCACGCATCGATCAGTAGTCATCTCGCGCGCAATCCATGCTCCGCAGTCAACCATCATCCGTGCTGCAGTCATTTGCGCGTTTCTGCGAGCAGAGATCACCCCACCCGCGTTCCGTGTCCCTCTCTTTGTTCTCTCTCTCGTGAGTTTTCTCTCTCTCGGTTGTAACCTGTTCATTCAGTCACAGTAGTCCTCCGTCGGCAGCAATCTTTTCGTATCAACAAAGTCATTTAGGCTGCAGTCATCCGCAAAAATATCGGAGTTTTTATTCGATCTTAAGTCGTCAGGTCGTCGCCTGTGTAGACTAATCGCAAGATATGACAACCGTGGGTGGCGCTGCTTCTCGACGCCCGCTCACGTTCGGTTGCACACGCTCCTCACTCCTCGAGCGTTCTCCCACATCCCACTCTTACCCAGCCTTCGTGGAGTCTCTCTCCTGCTCTTCTTCTCTTTCGTATCTGCTGTCTGTCGCAATGCTGTCGGGCTGTCGGGCTCGCGTGTCGTGTGTCGTGTGGGTGTTGTTGCCAGGGAATACAGTAGAAACATTGTACTGCATCCTGTCGTTTCGTCACTTTTGACGAGCTGCTTCCTGTCTTTTTGGGGGTGTACATCATGTGCTTCCTTTCTGTCTTGTTGGAGGTGTCGTTGGCATAGCGCGCCAGTCAGATTGTCGTTTGGTTCGAGGAGGTTCCTTTTCATTTGTTTTGGACTTGGTTAACGTTAGAAACTCATCTAGGGTGCATCAGTGAAAGGCTGCGACATACAGAGGTCATTCATCAACTTCCGAACACGAACGTCGGGAAAAGCACATCATCACACGCAAACATCACGTGACAAATTCATCTCTGCTGGCCTCCTCAATCAATGATCAGCTGCATGCAGCGTTCAGCAAATCCCAGCAACGCCCTGCTCACAGTTCATGTGTTTATATCCTTCCTTTGTATTGTACAGTGATGTCGTCATGTGTTCGCCCACGGGCCATCTCCTGATCCGCGAAGAAGGTAATCGGGGAAGGAATCCCATGAGATATACCATGTTGTAGACGTGCTGAACACTCTTTGCGAGGAATACACATTGATGCACCATATTTTTCAGTCCCCCAAAGAGACCATACAGCCCGGCCACCACCACTTGATTGAGATTTAAGTTTGTAAGAAATTCAGGCCCAACATTACCTTTTACTTGAACCTATCAACTACCAGTACCGAGTACCAGGAGGGACCTCCTTGCCAAATCCACGAAGTACCTACTACCCATCTACCCATACAGGAAACAACCCCACCTAGGGGTGCGCTTTTAATCGGAGGTTCTTGAGTGATGGCCAGAACTACCGCAGTACTCTCTGGTTGATAAAACCGCGTTTGCTGCGACGGGATTTCGCACCCCAATCTTACATGACACAACTGGTGTCCATGTGCGTGTCATGTGACGTTTGCACGGGGACTACCGCGCTGCCCCCCCCCCCCCCCCCCTCCCAACCCCTGTACCCAAATGCTGCCGTTTAAACCAAAGGGAAGAAAAGGAAACCGCTTGTAAACCACCGGAATTTTCCCCCACTCCCAAAAAATCCAAACCCCCCCGAAATTAAAAACTAAACCCTGGTTTTCCTTTCAACCCCCGAAGG